AAGGAGATTGAAGCTGTTATCAGAAGGCTCCCAACAAAGAAAAGCCCAGGACCAGATGGATTCACAGCAGAATTTTACCAAACATTCAAAGAGGAACTGACACCGATTCTTTACAAACTATTCCAAGAGATTGAAAGAGACACAAATCTCCCAAACTCAGTCTATGAAGCAAACATCATCCTGATACCAAAACCAGGTAAAGATATAACCAAACAAGAAAACTACAGGCTGATATCCTTGATGAATATAGATGCAAAAATCCTCACTGAAATACTAGCAAACAGAAAACAGCAACACATACGTAAAATTATTCACCACGATCAAGTGGGATTCATCCCAGGGATGNAAAGAAATCATTAAGATCAGAGCAGAATTTAATGAAATTGAAACCCAAAAAACAATACAAATGATCAATGAATCAAAAAGTTGGTTTTTGGAAAAGATAAATAAAATTGACAAACCAGGGCTGGCCCGGTGGCGCACTCTGTAGAGTGCGGAGCTTGGGAGCGTGGCGGCACTCCCGCCGAGGGTTCGGATCCCATATAGAGATCCCATATAGGTCCACTCACTGGTTGAGCGTGGTGCGGGCATGACACGAAGGGTTGTGATCCCATTGCCGGTCGCGGTACGGGCGCAACACTGAGGGTTGCGATCCCGTTACCGGTCACAAAAAAAGACAAAAAGGAAAAAAAAATTGACAAACCATTAGCATGGCTAACAAAAAAAAGGAAGAGAGAAGATTCAAATAACAAAAATTGGAAATGAAAAAGGTGATATTACAAATGATCCATCTGAAATACAAAGAATCATTCGAGACTACTATAAACTACTATACACCAAAAAATTTGAAAATCTCCAACAAGTTTGAAAATCTGGAGGAAATGGACAAATTTCTGGACACACATAAGCTCCCAATCTTAAGCCATGAAGATGTAGAAAACCTAAACAGGCCAATAACAATAAAGGAGATTGAAGCTGTAATCAGAAAGCTCCCAACAAAGAAAAGCCCTGGACCAGATGGATTCACAGCAGAATTTTACCAAACATTCAAAGAGGAATTGACACCAATTCTTTACAAACTATTCCAAAAGATTGAAACAGACGCAAAACTCCCAAACTCATTCTATGAAGCAAACATCATCCTGATACCAAAACCAGGTAAAGATACAACCAAAAAAGAAAACTACAGGCTGATATCCTTGATGAATATAGATGCAAAAATCCTCACTGAAATACTAGCAAACAGAAAACAGCAACACATACGTAAAATTATTCACCACGATCAAGTGGGATTCATCCCAGGGATGAAAGGTTGGTTCAACATATGCAAATCAATAAATGTGATACACCA